TCCAGTATTATTCAGCTGTTGTAATTCTGTTGTAAATTCAGTTGTTCAAAGTTTATTTTAATCTTGAGAAAAATAATTTTTTAATCTCGGAAAGATCAGCTTCTTGCTGCAATCAATTCAATCCAAGGAACATCATGCCAACTGAATTCCTTATTGTTGAACTTTCTGATGTGCTTGTTTTCAAGAAGCTTTTCTTTGTTGCTATCTATGTAAGAACACTATTACTGAATGTTGTTATTGTCACAATCAAGCGTAATAGTACCTCGTATTACGTTTTCAAATAAAAGCTTGAATACTTTTCTATCACTTTATTGTTCATGAACTAGTAATCTGAATAACTACATGAAAACACAGTAAAAACTACAACTATTTATATATAAAATTTACAGATATTTGAACATCCGAGAAAGAAATGGAATAATAGGTCATGACGTAAGAAGAATAGAAAAGAACATAGCGTCAGGAAGGACAAAGAATAGTTCCATATGATAACATACGATGTTCTTATGATGGCCAAGAATTCTTTGATGAGAAGAGGATAACGACGTCGATCTTTATCAATAATTTTGTAATGCTCCCAATCAGCTTTGTGGCCGGTATCAAATTCATGTTGGTGGATAGTCGATTTAACTTCAGGTTGGGATTTCTGTTTTAGGTCTTCAAGAACCTTTTCTTCTAATAGAGGTGGTTTATCAAAAAATTTTATTGGGGCTTTCCTTTTTTGTATTGAACGACGAAATTCGGTGGTTGGTTGTTGCTGAGAGGATATGGTGATGGACGTATCAGGAGGAGAAGGTGGTTCAGGCATGCCATGTTCGTGAAAACGTCTTGCAACTTGTCGTTCAGTTTTCCCAATGTAAGAAGCTGGACAATTCCCACAATCGATACCGTAGACGATGTTGGACTGAAGTTCTTTAGGTATCGAATCTTTACGAAGAAAGTAAGTTTGGATAGATGGAAAAGAACGTAAAATAGGTTGAACATTTACAAGCGGACGAAGTTGCTTTGCAATACTAATCAATCGTTTGCCTAACGAAATAGTTGGACGTCCAGCCTAGGGCATGTCGACGAGAACAACTTGTTTCTTTGGAGCATTTTATTTTGGTTAAAATTGTTTTGATTGGTACAATTAACGTCATTATTATTATTATTGTATGCTAATTTCGATGTTG